AGAGTACACCATCCACGGTCGTGTTGCTCGCATCCGTATCCATTACAAACGATTGGGCGCTCGATTCGAAGTTTGGCAATACTAGGATCAAAGTGGAGCAGGGCATTTATATCAAGTCTTTAAACGTCTCATCGTTCTCTTTCTCCCACTTAAAATTTTTCCTCACCGACCTATCGACTAATTTATGTAGCGGGCTGGCGATCTTTGCAAATGCCTTTACGAAACGCTGGTAATAATTTGCCAGACCTAGGAAACTGCTAAGCTCTTTTTAGTTGGTTAGTGTAGGCCATGTCTTCACTTGTTGTACACGGTCGTCGATGACGGCTATTCCATTCGACGAGACTGTATGCCCCTGGAAGGTGATCGAGCGTTACAGGAAACGGTACTTCTTCGGGTTCAGGGTTAACCCTGCATCATGTAGGCGGTCCAACACCAGAATCAGGTTGGCGTTGTTCTCCTTAATGTCTCCACCGAAAACGAAAATGTCATCAAGATGGATAATGCAATGCTTTGGGAATAGGCCGATCAGAGCTGTTTACATGAGGCTTTTGAAGGTGGCCGCCGCGTTGCAGAGCCCAAAGGGCATTGTCTGAAATTCATAAAGCCCGTTCCCGGTCTGTTTTTGCAACCTCCACTTGCCAATGTCCTGACTTCAGATCTAAGGTGGAGAACCACTGCGACCTATGTAAGGAGCCATGGTTACGGCATTCAACTTCCTACAGTCGATGCACAATTGCAGTTTGCTGTCCTTCTTCTTTACCATCGCGATAGGAGGGGCCCATGGTAACTTGGATGGCTTTATAACCTCATCTCGAAGCATTTCTTCAAACAGATGGTTCACATCTCCGCGCCAAGGAGGTGGAATACCTCTGGGTGGTTGCCCGATGGGCCTAGCTTCACCAGATATTAATCGTATGCTTAACGATATTTGTTCGTTTCAGTCTTGGGCCTTGCCATGAAAAGATATTCGCATACTTAAAAAGAAGCTGACGGAGTTCTTTTCTCCGTCGTTGGGAATGTGAGTCAGCTGCGCACACAGGTCATCCAGATTCTTCAAGGGAATGGCTGCAGCTTCAAAAAGGGCGTTGCAGATGTCATCTGTGTCATCTTTCGGTATCTGCGTTAGCCACGGTGGCTCGATGAGTGGAAAAGGTTCCTTCTGCAAAATTGAGGACGGCTTTGGTGTAGCGTAGGAAATCGGTCCTAAGTATCAC